GATGTGGAGGTACAACCACCTGTTTTGGTGAGCGCTTTTGCTGCTGCACAGTTACATGAACAGACATGGAGGGAGTCACAGGAGCTTTGAACAAGCAAGCCATTTAAAACAACCCGGGTGCCACAAAGACAACTGATCCAAGCATCCAGCCATGCCGCTGAGGTTTCCTGGCCCCTTTTTGATGGAAGAAAGGTTTCCCATCACTTCCAAGCTATTACCTCCATACAGTTAGGGATTACATAGAAGCAAGAACAGGGACACTCTGTCTACCAATCTGTTATTTATTTGAAAACTCCCCCAAGCTTTTCCATTATCTTCTCCATATCAAGCTTGACCTGAAGAGAAAACCTGGCTTCAGAAGGGTCAATGCAGTCTAGACTCTCTCCTCATCCTGTACAGCCGACCTCCACCTCCACCTCCACCTCCACCCACATCCTGCATATTGCTTTAAGATACAAGAGGGATGTGGCCCCCACCCTCCCCCTTCCTTATTCTCACTCACCTCAAGCCTCTGCCTCCTTTGGTCCAGTTCCCTATTTCCCACCTACAATAGCATCTGCCGTCACCATAATCTTTCTATTTCAATAGCCCGCCCCTTGGGCTTAAGGGGTCTGGAGATGGAGATGGGATTTGTCTCTCAATTTACAGCAATGCCGGTGTGCTTTCTGACTCTGCACTCTTATACTAGATGGTCAGAGCATTCTTTTAAAGAAAACTCATTCGCTGTTGGTCCAGACAACATTGTGTTGGATGTTTAAGAAATGTGGCCTCATAGAGCTGATGAGTAGTAGAGCCACACTGAAGAAAGGAGTTAAAAATATAATAATAATTATATCATGAGATAGATTAAATATCATACGTAGGACAATTACTCATTATAATGATGCTGCTAATAAACCAGATGCTACACCATTACTGCTGCTGCTTATACTTCTGTCTAAAACTACTACTACTAAGAATATAAATACGTTGTTATATGGGGACCATTAAAATTACAATATCTCAAACATTTAAGCACTGAAACCAACAGGCATTTAACCTGCATTAATTGATTGTCTTGGCCACTTGGGGCGGTTATAACAAGCTGTGAACACAACACTGACATATTACACCTTTTACACAAGTAGATATTCAATTACATTTTTTTTCAATTTAATTTATTTGTATAGCCTAAAATCACGAATTTACCTCAGAGGGCTTTACAATCTGTACAACATACAACATCCTCTGTCCCAGGATCTTTGCATCGGAACAGGAAAAACTCCCCAAAAGAACATTTAATGAGGGAACAAAAAGAAGAAACCTTAGGGAGAGCAACAGAGGAGGGATCCCTCTCCCAGGATGGCCAGAAGTGCAATAGATGTCATGTGAAAGAATGAACAAAACAACTTAATGTGTAACTTGTTATCAAACAGTTGCTTATTTACACATACATAGCAACATTATCATTCATTCGTCTCTCCCAACTCTGCAGGGAAATATCTGGCTCTTACGCTGCTAAATGCTGCACTTTCTTCCCCAGCTAGTCGCTAATTGCGCTGTTTGCCGTACAGTAGGTTTTTAGAGCATTTAGTTTTTTCTCAAAGCATCTGCATGCTGCTGCTGAAAACAATGCTTACAAGAGCAGTGAGAACCAAAATAGTTAAGTTGTGTGCCGTTTACCCGAAAAGCTGAAAGATGCTCCACGGAGCTGAGAGGAACTGCAGAGTTGGATAACAGTTCTTGAATGTTAAACATGGACAATTTGAGCTGGTGTTAAATAAAGCACAGCAGGTTTACATCAAAATGACAAACAATCATAAAAAATAACTTTTTTCCCCCTGTTGATAACTAATACAAAATTATAACACATCAAGACAGACAACAGGTATGTTTGAATGTAACACACATTTTAATAATAAGGTTGTAAACTGGTTTACAATTAGTATATACATGTAAATTATGTATATACTGTGCATTTTTGTTGTTTTATCTTATATATTCTATATTCTGATATTTAATTTGTCCTACTCCGTTATTCTATTGTATATATTGTGCATTTTGTTAATACTTAATATTTTTGGTTACTCTGTTACTTTGCTTCTTGGTGTGTCTTGCTGCTGTAACATACAAATTTCCCCCTGGGGATGAATAAAGTACATATCTATCTATCTATCTATCTATCTATCTATCTATCTATCTATCTATCTATCTATCTATCTATCTATCTAAATATGCCTGATTACCAGTGATGCCAAAATTTGTCTATACAGTTTATTGTTAAATAACATATTACAAAGACTGACTGTCGGATATCAGATGGGTCAAAGCTAGAAGCAGAAACAAAACCCGCTAATGCTTATGTACTTAACTGCTATTACAGGGCATGTAAAAAAGACTTGGCATTTTAAAGGTGTACTCCTACGCACTTCAATTCTAAATAATGTATAGGCTGCAGAATGTGTGGCCATCATTGTTGACATGTGATCTGTGGTGAATGGGATGTGATGTTGACGATGAATTTAGAGCCCAGTGTCAATGTTTACAATTAACCCCCATTTCAGCTGAATCATTATCTATCCTTGGTGAATTTTCTGCAGGTTACAAGCAAAACACACTTATCTCAGGGCCCCTGTGTACTGCGATTTCTCTGGGATTGCTCGGGTTACCACGCTGCATAATAAAACATAGGCATCTACCAGTGAGGATGTAGCCTAAGGTCGTAAGTTTAAGTTTTATTTTAACCACAAACTTTATGACCTGGAAAAAATAATGGTCACATTATTATTATTATTGGATTTATTGTATTAAGCAATCAAATTATGGGTAGTTATGCTTGGTGCATTCAGGGACAGAGCTGCATAATGAGTGGGGGACATTTCAAATAGCAAAAAGCCACTTTCTATTACGACTAAGGCCATCTATTATTACAACAAAGGACGAGTAAATGTAAGAGCACAGAGGTCATTTCTGAAGGCTACAGAGATAAACTGGGATTTTTTTTTCTTTCCAAAAATTTCCTTCAAAGTACAAAACAGTGAAGGGAACAGGGGACAAGGGAGAAAAAAAATCTTCATTGAATATTCATTAACCGGTGCCTAGGTGTATACATGGCTCCTAACCACTCTTGTTTATGACTTAAGGACTTGTAGTACTGACCTTAGTTTAACACAGCAGCAGATACCAAATTAACCTCTAGCCTCCACAGGGCTAGCCATGCCCTGCTAACAAGCAACCTGTCTAGACACACAAGAGGTACTTTATGATTCCACCTCTCACAATCCCCCTCTCTCTCTCTCTGCCTCTCTCCCTCTCTCTCCCTCTCTTTCTCACAACCTCTCTGTCTCTGTTAACACGTACTGGCACATCCTCCCTCCCTCTGTCCTCTTCTATCTTTCACCTCACCATTTCATCCCTATTTTGCCCCTGCACCATTTTTCATGTACCTCCCAAGCTGTGCAGTGTTTGGGTCATGCACCCAGCAACCAGAGTTTTATCAGATGGTAGACTTTGTCTTATCCTTCACAACACAGCCTGGCCATAGCAGAATAGAATAATGAAAAGATCTGACACCTCTAGGGTGCTTAATTTCAATAACACTCGCAAAAAATAAGAATAATACTGATGCTATGATGCATTTTTTTTTTATTGAACTAAACTATAGACATTTCAAAGCCAATGCTATTACAAGACTTGGAATAGGAATTCCATAAGAGAATTTAAAACTATGTATAATCTAAGGTGCAATAACGTCAATGAGCTCATGATTGGGTATCATATACACAGCATAACTACATTGTTACAGCAATTTTATAATGATTTATGCTAACGGCATAAGCAAATAATCTTACAAATGAGAAATCTGTAAAAGTTCAGGAAAATAAAATGTCATTATCTGTCAAAAAGACAAATATTGAGCTATTTCCAATAGCTTTACTATAATTTAGACTGATATCATTAATGTCTTCTGTTTCTTTTCCCTGAAGAACAAAATAATGTACTTTAGTTTATTAGTTTCATCTAAAAACGTCAGTAAATAGTTTAAAATGCTTATTATAAATACAACCCGAGGTGGTGTATTGTTTGTTTTATTTGAACAATAGTTAAAAAACTCAAAATATTCAGTCCACTATCATACGTGACAAAGAAAAGCATACAATCCTCACATCGCTAAAGTGACTAGAATGATTTATCAACTGCTGATGAATTTTCTGTTAATCGACTAATTTGTGCAACTCGACTGTACTTACAGCCCGCACTAGGATCCAGACATTCACCTCTTTTTTCTCTGGCAGCTCAGACCTCAACCCAGTACTGCACATCTGGTGACCAGCTACAGGTCCACTGTCCAGAAGCAGCCAAAGACTGTGAACGTTTGCACGTGTCCATGAAGGCTGTGCTGTAAAAACAAAGCACAGTGCAGGAACACATTTCTCCATCAGATTCTGTACGTCCGTGAGATTCAGTGCATTTCAAGTCCATATTAAAGTGTTACAACAAAACTGAAATTGCAATATTTTTTTCAGGTAATGTTTCTAAAAATGATTTTAACAAACTTGCAACTAAAAATGATCCTACTGTACCCATGATCTCACAAGATGGCTAATTATATCAATGATAATCAAACACTGCCAAATTACCAAATACCAAGAGGGAAAGTCAGTCATGTTGTATTTTCTTAAAGATATGTATAGTTAGAGCTGGGATAAGTGTGCTGCTACATGCACAGTTTCAGGATCAAACTATATAAACTAATACTATTTTTGAATATTTAAGATTGAAATGACTGTACCTACTCATATTCATTCATATTTAGCCAATTTTAGGAGGAGAAATAGGCCCCAGCTTGTACAAAGAGATGTAGCGTAATCTGCATACATACAATGCTACTGTGTTGCAAATTGGTGATCTGTTGACTGAACATGGGTCTTAAACACAGAGAAATATGTCAAACTGTCACTTGTCTCTACATTGTTCTGTCTCTCCCAGTTTTCAACTCTCACTCAGTTACCACTGCGCTCTTTGTATTTTTGTCCTCACCCAGTCTCCGTACAGTGCACGTCTCTGATTGGTCAATACGCGGTCCATGCCAAATACAATCGTTTGGAGAACGTCTATCGGGTAAGTGAAATGCTACTAAATATGTAGCTACTGATAACAACTATTTTAAAAAAGCATACGTCGCCATTTGCAGTCCACGTCGATTACAATAAACGTATGAAATGTAGCTACTCACACGTATAACGACCCACTCACACCATTCAGTGCATATTCATTGAAGAGTTTGCAGTTAGCTACACCGACTAGCTAGCAGCTAACGCTACTTTCCCACACAGTATTAAGCCAAATAACATTTAGCTATATGCTACTACATTACTTTTGGACAAATCCGAAACATAGCTACGTGCTGCTACACTCCAAACATATAGTAAATAAGACTTTGTTGTTGAATTGAATGAATGAACGGCATCGTGCGCGAGTTAGCTGGCATTGATGCTAACGTAGCTAGCTGAAAGAAACTGCGATCATAACATGTAACTTACTGCTGATCCTCAACCCTTTCAGATCACAGTCAAGATGAGTCTGAGGAAGCAAACCCCGAGCGACTTTCTGAAGCAGATAATCGGGAGACCTGTGGTGGTCAAACTGAACTCTGGTGTCGATTACAGAGGTAATAACCCTGGCATGTATATAACCCAGCCACTTCTTTTTCTATAGTGCCATTTTAACAGTGATGAAGTTCTCGTTTGGCAAACCACTGAGCATGTTTGATCTGTGTAACGTTACAGGTGTCCTGGCCTGCCTCGATGGTTACATGAACATTGCCATCGAGCAGACTGAGGAGTATGTGAATGGGCAGCTCAAGAACAAGTACGGAGATGCTTTTCTGAGAGGAAACAATGGTAAGATTCTCTAATATATCATTTTATCTAATTATATCTCCCAATTTATAGACACTTTGGCACTTAAAGCCTTGACAAAGGTCAGTGCATGGTCCACTATTTTATTACAGCAGACATACGAAGCACAGGTGCCACTAATATTAAATATGTTTCTGTTCTATTCAAGTGTCCTAGTATGAAATTGAAATATAGTTCTCCGTTTAGACATTTTTAAATCACTGACGGTTCCCTTTTAAACATGAGTATTTTACTGGCAGTGATGCATTACATGATGCCCGTTAACAGCTTTAGTGGCAACACAAAGCTCTCCTGTTGAATAAACAAAAAGTCCTATGGCAGAGAAAGACTTTATAGGTAAATAAACCATCAGCAAAACGCATTGTATTCTGAAGATTCTTAGTTTTAAAATGTTTCTTTCGCTGTCTCCATTAAATAAGAATGAACTGTCCCTTTTTTAAATCTATTATTCAGGCTTTGCCATATAATATAGATAACGTGGAAAGCTTAAAGCAACCGGCATTGTCTCTCCTGCTTTTTATTTCTAACTTGTGTCTACTGCTAGTCCTTGATGAATAAAGGATCGTAGTAAGTGTGTTTCATATGATCCGTATCCACCATAACAGTCGGAAGAACACGTCTTCTTCCCTCTGATGTCTAGATTTTTCCATACACCAGCCATGTACGGTATTTACAGTCTGATTCCCTCTTGAATATGAGTCATGCTGTCCAGCGCAGTTCTCACTGTGATAAAAGGGCCAGCAGCTGAAGATGGGGCTATTTTAGTTGAAACAGAGCAGGTTGATAAAATTAGATTTCAGTAAAAGATGATGATTTACCCGACTGCTTTTCAGTACAGTCCCAGCATTAGACCTCCAATCCACCAGGACTGCAAAACAATTCCACATATCTCAGATGAGAAATGTGACTCTGTTTTCACAATAAGATCCGTGTCAGTGGGTCAGTATTAACCCCAGACAATTTATTTGTTGTGTATCATGGGAAGTGAAGGGTGGGGTGAATGCAAACTGCATTGAGCATCAAGAGTCGGCTGTAAGAATATTGTAACTCCACTGTATTTGGTTGGGCCAACCAAATAACTGGCCTCAATTATGACCCTTTATCTCTGGATGTGTGATCACATCAAATGACCACAAAACAAGAAATAAAATGAATACACTTCAGATTGGTCTCAGAGATGTAATTGTGTTTTTCTCAGCAAAAACGACAGCCTTTAATGTTCTTAATATTTTCTCCCCTCTCTCTCTTCCAGTCCTTTACATCAGCACCCAGAAGAGGAAAGCGTAGTGAAGACCGTTCTGTTTTTCATTTTTATTTTACAGTGGTTGATGCGTCAGTGGATTACTGTCCTGTTTTTGGTTCTGTAAAGCCTGAAGTCCTGAAGAATGTTGAGTTTTGTGAAAGTGGAATTAGTTAATAAACTCTGAGTTTTGATTTATGTCTGATATGGTTAATATTATTCACACATTATGGTGTTAACATCACAGGTAAAATGATAACCGGTATTTTTTTCTGTTCTCAATTGTTCTTTGTAAAAATGGAGATGAAAGTTTGAACTAACAGTATCATTTCAACAGGCCTCATTGAGAAAAGAAAAGGTCATTCCTTTGCAGAGTTGTTCGTATTGTAATATCATGTGATTAAATTCTTGACTATATCGGGCGTTTTGTGGCCAAATCATTCAGTCAAAATTTACTCCTGGAGCAAGCTGTTTTACCACAAGGCTTCAGAAGGATTAGAACATCATTTTGTAATTTGTCAGCACTAATGTGCTAATTGTGTACTTGATCTTGATACGACTTGCCTGTAGAAACCCATTACTGAATGGCCTGTGTACAAATGTACTCATCATCCTCCATTTACTTTATATAAGTCATTTGATGAACAGCTGTTTGTATAATTAAAAATAAAACTGTTCAAGTAATGTTTCACATATAAAAGGAAACAGAATTTCAATTGGAAGGTCATTTTTGAAATGGCTTTTTAGATTTGCTTGTTTTCAAATTGAGCATGAGTCATGAAAGTATTCCTGCAGCTCTAGATGGTGACTCAGTCCGGTAATGTACCTGCATCTGAACCTTGATTGAGTGCCCATGCATACAAAAGTAAGTTGTTGGCTGCTTTAATGCCATATTATGGAACAACTCAATATGCACATGTGAAAGAAAATCCTTCACTTACGGGCAATTTAAATATCCACCACTGAATAAGAAAATGTTACTGCAGGACTAATCCATAAATGGTGCCACCTGCAGGCTATGTCAGGCTGCATTAACATGTAAACAGATCTGTCAGATCAACTCCCACCGCCCTCTGCAGCAGACTTCCATGTTTTAGTGCCTTTAATAAATGTCGCAGAACACAGCTTACCTTTTGTCATGTGACTGCACTGTGAGATGCTCTTTGTTCGTAAGGTTGGCTGTACCGTCTTCACTGACGTTGCCCCTGTAAAAAAAATAATACATGCAGCAGCATATATACAAAGAATTGGAAGTTTATTTCCTTTTAGTGTGGCCTGTGGTAATTTAGCAAATTAGTTCAAAAGTGGCATCACCTCATTACGCTAAGATAAGAAGGCTATAAATATATGATTCATTAGACTCTTAATGAGAATGCTGTAGTGAGGAGGCAGTGAGGGGAATTCTTTCCCTTCCAAGGGTGGATTTTTGAGAGCCTTGTTTTCCAACCTGAACATGCGCACTCTGGCCCCTGGAAGGAGACAAAAGGCTGCCAAGGTCAGGCCCGACTTGAGGATGAAGGACACGTTATTGATCAAACTCTGCCGAGCTGCAGCTGTAGAGAGGGAATGTTGGGGTGGGGGGGATTGAGCTGCAACACACACACACTGGCAGACATAGGCACCGAGTGATTTGTACACACGAACGCATTGTACACAGTGCAACACACAAAGAATCATTATGGCACCTAGTGAGGGTTATCACAGGCAAATATTTACCCACTGGAATCATATCTGAGCCGCTGGCTATGTGGCCTCGCAGGGAACCCAATTAATACTATTCACGCAAATGACCTAGTGGCAGACGTCACGCTATTGAACCATGAGCTCTTTTCCAAAAACACTGAACTGATGCAGTCACTTTTTCCTTTTGCATGTCCACGTCAACATCAGAGTATTGATTTTTATCCCTCACAACCGCTTTTTAAGCCCACATTTTTCCCTTTTTTTTTGATTATTGATATAATATGCACGACGAATGTAAAACAAAAATAATCAATTTTTTTCATATAGGTTGTTTCAAGATGCCGTAGTTTGTTTTGGGCACTGGTTCGCCCCCACGCACCTCATAAAAGCAGATGGCTGGCAGAGGATGCTGCAGTGGCTCAGTGTTGACGTATGGAGGTGAGTGATGGAGGGGAGAGGACAAAGGAGGATAGAATAGGTGACAGCCTTGTTGTGGGAGAAAAAGCAAGGGGGAGACTCAAGTCTTACAGCACCACCAGCTGCCAGAGCCACAAAACTACAGTGGAGTCACAGGAGGGAGGAAGGATGGAGGAGGGAGGGAAAGTGGCGTATGACTTTGACCCTGACTGATCACTGCAGCATGACTGTCTAGCCTTTTCACAAGGGATCAAAGGATGACAAGGACAACCTGAAAATCAGTGATTTTCCCCATGTTTGGCTGTACCATATTCTCAATTAGACAAGGACAAATTTCGGTCTTCTTCTTGCAAATCTGTTCAGAGTGGATCTTTTCATATGAATGGTTTTGCCAGGGTTGAGAGTTTGCTGCACATCGGGAGCATTCAAGTCCCTCCTCCCATTTTTTTCCCTCTTGTTGCATATATTCAGCAGTATCAAGGTGAATCGCCACACGTTTAATTAATGTGTCGTGTGTGTGCGTAAAAATAATGTTGTAGATGAAATATTAAAACCACCGTAAAAAAATTCTAGCCTCATAACTTACCATTTGACTCAACCGACACCTCTCTGACTCTCACTGTTAAAACAGCACAATAACTTAAACAAAAAACATGCTTCTTGCATTACATTGTACTAGCATTGTACTCACTGCCTGTATGTGTGGATGTAAGTAACAGCCAATTTTTGCACGTGTAAAGAGACCTCCCTCCTCACAGTGTATTTAATGGGATCTCTGCAGTCCTGTGTGAACTTGACCAGCTCTAACCTCTGCCTGACAGCTTGTCATGTGTTTAGGATGTAAATGATGGCGGTGACCTCCCACACTGTGTCTCTGCTCTCACATTCCACGGGCTGGGTCAGAGGTCCTGTTAGGTTAGTGCAGTATAAACAAACACCTTAGGAACAGCCTAACAATGGCTGACTAATGTTGAAAACAGCTGCTACTGATTAATAAACTGAACGCTCCTTGTTGGTCTGTTAGTCTATTAATCAGATGTGGTTATTCTCCTCAAAATACATATCAGGGTGAATTGCGTGGTTCTGTGAATTACTGCTCCACTTCCTTGTCTTTCCGTAACCTAAATCCAAGTTCAAGTTTGACGGTTGTTTTGATCCTAATTGAGTGTGAGGGCCTGTGCTAGTCTCTGCCGCTCTGCAACCTCTAGGTTCTTTATTTAGCCCCGAGGACAGTCAACCTTGGCCAGAAATGTGACCCTTGACCTTCTTATCTGGAAGAAGCTATTCCCAGCATGGACAGAGGCTTCTGTGATTTATCTTGGCTACAAATGGCAGCGTGATGCAGATGGTAGGGTTACGGGAGCGTAACTAGGTACCCTTCAGGAGGCCAGAGAGCAGTGCCGTTGCACTCAGAGAGCATTGTATGTGTTGCACAGGCTCTATCGCGATGAGCAACAACAGCCAGGAGAAACATTCGCATGGTAACAGTAACATGGTCCACGTGAGTCCTTGAACCCTGAACCCAAAAGGCTCTCCAGCTGTCCCACAACAGAAGGGGTCTATTTTGGAAACAGACTTGCTTGAAATCTCTTACTAGATTATGAGCATATTGTATTATTGACTGTGACCTGACCCACTTACACCACAATAAGCTTGGTGGATGTGGATACAGAGCATATCGTCGCTCTTCTTCTCAACAGGCTAACAGTTGTTTTTCTGATTGCCTGTTCTATGTTATTGTCTTAATTAACTTGTTCATACCTGTTCTTAGAAACAGAGGTGGGGCTTCAGGTTTGAGGTAAAGTGTGGAATACTTGATCAACTTCTGTATCCCAAAATAGAAAAACTGAGAATTATTTCCTTTATATATTTAATTTTAAGAAAGAGGCCTTCTTACGCAGCTGTAGACTTGAGACTGTGACTCAGACTTATGTCACAAGAATGAGGACTTAGACTTCTTTGCCCTGGTATTTGACTTACTTAATACTTGAGTGGCAAATTATTGAAACTGATTGCGTGATATGGTTGAAAGCTCAAGAACAGCTACTAAATGGACATTGGCGTGAGGTTGTTTTCATTAAATGCTTGTTCCAAGGTCAGAAATAAACAGTGAACATGAACCAGAGGTCCAGGAAAAAGAGAACTGAAGGTCCTATAGAGCTTCTAAACTGACCTTGAGGGGAGATTTGTCGAATTAAAGTTTTAAGTTTTGACCTGGCAAAATCTCTGAACAATAACAAAAAAAATAGCAAAGCCAGGCAGGCCTTGAATAGCCAAAAAGCTTGAATATTTAATTATTGGCCCATTCATTCAGAGGACCTCAACCGTTGTGAATGCAAAATGCTCCAAATGTCGAGTCATTCAGAAATCTGAAAGACTTGTATTTTACTTGTCATGTGCTTTGACAAGATTTAAAAATTGCCCCAAAATGCCTAATCTGAAAGTCCACACACAGGACATAATTATCATATTATAAAAGCCTCTGTTAACATGTAATAATTCTGCCTTTATCTTCCTCTTTGATACATGAATGTATTTTTGGTTTTATTGCAGGTTGTTCCAGATCAAATCATCTTCCATTTGAGTAAAAAAATAAATAAATCCACAGTCACAAAATACTTGGTAGCATAAAATATAAGGTTGTGGAAGCTTATCGAATGGCCGTCTTGGGACCCTATCTCATGAAATAGTATATTTAAGAATGAGGTCATCAGTGCTTTTGAGCAATAATTAGTGAATATGAAGTAATCAGCTCATGTCACAGAGACATTTTCAATCGCCTTTTTGTTTCAGAAAGGCGATTGCTTGTTCTGTTTGTCAGCCAAGTCTCACCACTATGCACATGAGATTTGCATGAAATACAAACTAACCCTGCACTCAGGCAATTAGCCTCCATTACGCTGGCGTTCCAATTGCCAATTTGTCTGCCATGCAAGGTAATCCGGAGTGTTGCTGGCAAGCACCCAAAATGGTAATAATGGTATTGCAAGAGTCTTTTGTTGTTGTTTCCTCTCAGACTAACGGCCACAGGCGGCTGGCGTGTCACTGGATGAAATGTTGAGGAAGTGGAAATGTTTGCTCGGCAGTCAGGAGACGTGACCCTTTGCCCTCGAATGCTACAGTCTAAAGGCTTTTAGCCTGCCGTTGTTTTGAGTTTAGTTTTATTTTGTCTGAATGCGTTATTCAAAGTTGGTCTTATGTCTTGTTCTGTTTTGGTGTTTTCTTTGTCTGACTCTGTCTTTAGGAGGACCAAACAAAGAAGCTGCTTTAAACAATGTTTTTACATTAACAACGGACCAAATGACGATGTTTGTAGT